TCACACAAACAACACAACACTCATGTCCCGCCTCGTCCTTTCGGGCGGGGCCACCCTCTAGCGCCACGCCGACGTTCTTCCTTCCACACTCCTCTCGGGGCGATAAGATCAGGGAATGCACTCAAGAACAGGGCGGCTAATTAACGCGCCAAAGACAGGGGGAAGAGAATGCGAGAGAGAGAGAGAGAGGAGAACGAGAGATGGAGCGAGAAGAGTTGGGCCTTTTCTCTCGTCTGCAAACGGTTAAAAATTAACGAAAGATTGGGACTTCTCTTTACGTCTTGCAAACTGGTGGATTTTACGAGCAAATTGGACCGTATGTTGCTTTTCTTTTCTTTCGTCTTGCAAACGGGTTAAATTTACGAGCAAATTGGACTTATCCGTTTTAGTGTTTTCCTTTCTTAAGCTGGGACTTCATCTTATTTTCTGACGTATTTCCAATGGACGTAACACCATTTTCTTCACAAACATTTATCTACTGGAAATTTCAGGCTCTTACTAAAAAACAATATTCATGAATAAAAAGAATAAAAATTCAGACGCAGAATTAATAAAAATGGAAGACCAGCATTGCCAAGGTTAATTCCTAGAATCAACATTTTCTCCAGGTTTGCAGCGCTTTTAAAGGGGGAAGGGGGAGGGAGGGGGGAGGAGGGGTGTTCAGGAAAAAAGAGAAAGTTGCATTTGACGCGTGTGAAAATGTTGAAAGTGTTGAACCAACCCCTTAAACCTAAAACAAAAACGACAGCAAGAATCAGTAGCCACTTTTAACCTGTCTTTTTTTTCCTTTAAGACTCTTTATGTCTCGCCACATCTCTAAACACAACAGTTATCATCACGACCACAGGCCCATTAAAAAAGAAAGTCATTTCAACCTTCCATAACCTCTCAGAGAACCCTACAAAAAGACAAATTTAAAAACTTCCAACCTTCATGACACCTTTAAAAGAAGAAAGGCAATTTAATAATCTCAATACCTCTCAAAATTAAAAAAAATACAATTGTACCTCTCATACTTCAGTGGACACCTTTCCAAAAAGGACAATTCGTCAAGGAACAAATCCATCATCATACACCTCTGAGAAATCATTTAACAAAAAACAATTCATCCCCCATACTTCAGAAAACCTTCATAAATAGATTTTTCATCATCCAGCAGACATTTCAACTCTTCCCCACACCATCTTAAAAAAATAAAAAAAAAACACGATTCACCTTCTCATACGGTCTCTCAGAAACCCTAAAAAAAGATAATTCACCTTCCATACTTCAGAAAACCATCAAAAAACAATTATCCAGGACAATCATCCTTCTATAACCTCTCAGAAACCGCAAAAAAACACAATTCATCTATCCTATACCTCCCAGAATCATTAAAAGAGGACAAATTCATCCCCCAAGACTTCAGAGAAACCTTCACAAAAAAATCATCAAGAACAATTTTCACTGTTCCCACACGCTCTTGTAAAAAAAAAAAATAAAACAACACGATTCACCTTACCATAACCTCTCAGAACCCCTTCTAAAAAAAGATGATTCACCCTTCCATAACTTCAGCAAGAAACCAAAGGCACAGGTAAAAAAAAACATCAAAAAAAAAAACAAATTTATCAGGACAAATCATCTCTATACCCTCAGAAAACCATTAAACCATTCACTCCATACCTCTGAGAATCAATTAAAAAAGACAATCATAGCCCCATACTTCATAGAGAAGACCTTTAAAAAAAAAAAATCATCAAGACATTTCACTTTCCACAGCACTTCTCTAAAATGACATTAAAAAACACGATTCACAATTAATCAAGACAAATCACCTTCCATGCCTCTCAGAAACCTTAAAAAAGAAGACCAATCCATCATCTATATAACCTCTGAGAACCTTAAAAAAAAGACAGTTAATCAAGGTCAATTCAACCTTCCATACTTCTCAGAAAAACGAAGAAAATCACACATCATCTTCCATACCTCTCAGAAACCTTAATTCACCTTCCATACCTCTCAGAAACCTCCAAGAAAATCACACATCATCTTCCATACCTTCTCGAGAGAGAGGCACTTAGAAGAACGGATGAGGCTGCACAGATCACCATTTCCAATAGAGATCGCCTCTTACGTATGAGTCAGCTTAGCTCGTCGGACCTCTCAGAAACCTTCAAGAAAATCACAGATCACCTTCCATATACTCTCAGAAACCTAAGAAAATCAACCAGATCACCTCCATCTCTGCAGCAAACCCTTCATAGCAAACTCACATATCTTCCATAGCCTCTCTGTGAAATCTTCAAGTTCCTGACGGAGACAAGCCTCTGGTACTGGGGCTGCGAGATCCCGACGGTGCTGACGAAGAAGTAGAGGCCGAGGACCTGCACCGACCAGAAGGTGTGGCGCACCAGGGGGTTCGGGTCGAAGCTAGGGGGGGAAGGGGGGGGGGGAAGGGAGAGAAACAAGTAAGTTTATTTTTGTTTGACTGCTTGATTGATTGATTGATCTTTGTTTAAAAATTCATCGATTCATCAACTCATCTTTTATCTCTTCATTCATTTATTCTAATTTATTTATTGTCATTTATTTATTATTCAATCGAAGCTGGAGAAGAGGAAAATTATATGGTATTATTTAGAGAGAGAGAGAGAGAGAGAGAGAGAGAGAGAGAGGAGAGAGAGAGAGAGAGAGAGAGAGAGAGAGAGAGAGAGAGAGAGAGAGAGAGAGAGAGAGAGAGAGAGAGAGACAGACAGACAGACAGACAGACAGACAGACAGACAGACAGACAGACAGACAGACAGACAGACAGACAGAGACAGAGACAGAGACAGAGACAGAGACAGAGACAGAGACAGAGACAGAGACAGAGACAGAGACAGAGATAGAGAGAAAGAGAGAGAGAAAGAGACAGAGAAAGAGAGAGAACCAGCCTGAAACCCAAACAAGAGGACCTCCTCGCCAAGTCCTTCAATACTCACTTGAAGAACTCAAGACGCCCTCCCTGGGCCGCCCTCTCCCACACCTCGCCCACGCCGCCCAACTCGATGCACACCTGCACCACCACGGACACCACGCCTATGAACATGATCGTCGTCTGTAGAACATCCGTGTAGACTACCGCCCGCACGCCCCCCTGGGGAGAGAAGCGAGGAGAAACAAATTGAAAATCGATAAATAGGCTTCCACTTTTCGGTCTATTTTACGTAATCTGGGAATATTATTGCCTTTGAGGGAAGAATGGAATCGAAAAAGAATTGTCATTACTTTTATATTCATCTGTGTTATCTATTTATTTTCTTCTCTGTGATGTTTTTTATTCTCGTTTTCTTTCGCATCGGGGAGAAAAATTAAAATGAATAGTTATCCCTTTAATTTTTCTTGGTGTTATTTTTCCCGTTTTCTATAGCGTTTGAGCGACTGAAAGGAACACGTTATTTTTTCATTATTTATTATATGATTTTTTAATCTACGTTTTCTATACAACGCAATAAAAACAAGAAAAAAGTCTCTTTGGGAATCATAAACTGCATTACGAGTTTTGAGATAATTAAATGAAGGATAAAAAGCCAGTTAATGGAATGCGTACAACAACACAACGCCAAACCCACCTAACCTAGAACCCTAAAAATAACAGCCCAAACCCAACCCCGAACCCACCTTGAACCCCACCTAAAACCCAATACCCAACCCCGAACCCACCAACCACCTTAATCCCACCCAACCCCAAAACCATCAACCCACCTCACCTAAACCCACCTTAAGCCCCACCCCGCCCCAACCTCGAACTACAACCCAACCTCAAACCCCACCTAACCCAAAGCCCACCTTGAACCCAGCTTAGAACCCCACAAAAACCCAATACCCAACCCTGAACCCACCTTAAAACCCACCTAACCCCAAAACCCACCTTCAACCCCTCGATCCCAACCCAACCTCAAACCCACACCCCCCAACCCCAACCCATCCAACCCACCCCTACAAAAAACCAACCTAAAAACCCACCCCAACCCACCAACCACCAAAACCCAACCCAACAACCCCCACCCAACCCCAAAACCCCACCTTAACCCACCTAACCCCCCAAAAAAAACCCTGAAAAGAAAAAAAAAACAACCCCCAACCCCCCCAAATAAAAAAAAAAAAAAAACGAAGAAAACCACCAACGAGATGTAGATGGAGCAGACGATCCCAACACGATGATGGAGACCCAGGTGGAGAGCTTGGTGACGGAGCTGAGGGTGAGGGAGGGGCGTAGAGGCAGATCCCGAGGTACATGGCGCTGTGGACGATCTGGGTGATGGAGGCGAGCTTCTTCAGGAGGTTGGAGTCGAAGCGGAACTGCAGGTACTGTGGGGTGGTTGGGGGGTTGGAAGGGGGTTGTAGAGGGGGGAGGGGGGAGGGGACAGGGGGTTGGAGGAGGGGGAGGGGGAGGGGGACAGGGGGTTGGAGGGTGGTGGGGGGGTAAGGATGGGTTGGGGCGGAGGGGTTGGAGAAGAGAGAGGGTTGGAAGGTGGGGGGATAAGGATGGGTTGGGGCGGGGGGTTGGAGGAGGAGAGAGAGGGTTGGAGGTGGGGGGGTTGGAGGAGGGGAGAGAGGGTTGGAGGGTGGCGGGTAAGGATGGGTTGGGGCGGAGAGAGGTTGGAGGAAGGGAGGGGGGAAAAAGGGTATCCTTTAATAACTGGAGAAATTAATAGTTCATATCTTTCTCTCTTCTATGCTACGGAATATGCTGTTTCGATATAATTCATAGACATTTACAAACCCTCATATTCTTAATATTACATCTACGTCTTTGCTAAAAAAATGACACCAAACATATTTCACAATCATTACTCGCTTTATACCCTCCCAAAAACATTATATAAACATTATATACCATCTTACCCACACACAAACCATGCCCATGATTCTTCTCTCAATATATTCCAAGCAATAAACACTACACACAAAGTCCCTCTTGATGAATGAGAATGAATATCTTCACAATACAAGAAATGTATTTGATCGGTTTCGAATATTTCTTCGCCAGAAACACGTGTATTTCTGACATAGATATTTTCGAAACCGGTCAAATACATCTCTTGTATTGTGAAGATATTCATTCTCATTCATACATTTTCTTCGCTTGTCAACATAAATACGGTTTATACCCCCTCGACTTAGACCTATATATAACCCTCATGGTGACATCCTAATCTCACATTACAGTTACATAAAAACCCTTACGTTACAGTGACAATCCATCACGAGGTTATAAATACGGAATGTTCCGTTATAGTGACATAACAACCTCACAATCATAGTAATATACCAATCTCACGCCATAGTTAGCAAACCACCCTTCCGCTATGGCCCATACACTGCTATGGCTCATCCACTGCTATGGCCCATACACTGCCTATGGCTGCATCCACTGCTATGGCCTCATACACTGCTATGGCCCATAACACTGGCTATGGCCCAGGGCTCATACACTAACTAGACTACAACTCACACACCAGCCTTGCCTTCGAGTGAGCTCACAACCTTACCTGGTTCATGGAAGACAACCCGAGGGGGTATATGGTGGGGAGCAAGAGATGCACAACCACGAGAGAACCCCAAAAACAACCTATAAGATTCATCCATAACTGCGTCCCGTACAGGTAGATCTCTGTTGTGTTACCTGGTATGGAGAGAAATATATAATATATATATTAAAGGATAAATGGTATTTATTGGCGACAAAGGTTGACAAAAGGTATGGGAGGAAATTAATATATTCAGTGAGAGAGATGTATTGGTATCGTATAATCATTATTTTTATCAGTATTATTATTATCATTCCTATCATCATCATTATTATCATTATTATCATTATTGATCATTATTATTATCATTATTATTATTATTATTATTATTATTTACCATAATCATTATCATTATCATAATTATTATTATTATCATTATTATCTTTTTAACATTAATATGATCATCATCATTGTATTACAACCATATCATTATCATCTTACTATCATTATCAATATCATCATTATTATTGTTATTATTACCATTATCATTATCATTTTCATCATATTTACTAAAATCATTATGACCTCATTTAAATGTGGGTAATATCTCCGTAGACTTTTCCACGCACATCAACTAAACCTTTATGTAATCCCTAGACTCTATATGAATCACTATATAAACACACACACACACACACACACACACACACACACACACACACACACACACACACACACACACACACACACACAGGGGGAGGGGGAAGGGGAGCTGGGGAGGGAGGGAGAGGGGGGGGGGAGGAGAGATGGAGAGATGGAGAGATGGAGATGGAGAGATGGAGAGAGAGAGAGAGAGAGAGAGAGAGAGAGAGAGAGAGAGAGAGAGAGAGAGAGAGAGAGAGAGAGAGAGAGAGAGAGAGAGAGAAGAGAGAGAGAGAGAGAGGAGAGAGAGAGAGAGAGAGAGAGAGAGAGAGAGAGAGAGAGAGAGAGAGAGAGAGAGAGAGAGAGAGAGAGAGAGAGAGAGAGAGAGAGAGGGAGAGAGAGAGAAAGGGAGGGAGGGAGAGAGAAGAGAGAGAGAGAGAGAGAGAGAGAGAGAGAGAGAAGAGAAGAGAGAGGAGAGAGAGAGAGAGAGAGAGAGAAGAGAGAGAGAGAGAGAGAGAAGAGAGAGAGAGAGAGAAAGGAGGGAGGAGAAAGAGAGAAAGAGAGACAAGAATGAGGAAAGGAGCAGAGAGAAAAAACGAGAAAGAGAGAGAGAGAGAGAGAAAGAGAAACGAGAAAGAGAAAGAGAGAGAGAGAAAGAGAAAGAGAAAGAGAGAGAGAGAGAGAGAAAGAGAAAGAAGAGAGAGAAGAGCGAGAAACGAGAAAGAGAGAGAGAGAGAACCAGAGAAACAGACCCCCACCATGGTTCCTCTTCGCAAGTCGGGCTGCCAGGCGACCCGAAATTCTGGCCACCGAATGGAAATCAGAATCAAATCAAATCAGAATTGAACTCAATTAATCTGATTGTTCTTTCATTAGCCGCTTCTGCCAGTGGACTAGAGACTAAAAGGCGAATGCTTCTAATTATCAATTGATGCATCTATCGATCTGCTGATTACACTTACGCAATCGTAATGGAAAAAAAAAAAAAAAAATAAAAAAATAAAAATAAAAATAATAAAAATAAAAAATAAAAACATTTAATAATCACTAAAACACACTATGTAATAGCTATCCAAATCAGCGCTATTCACCAAAACCTACTTACGTAATAATTTCTATTTAAAAAAAATCGATGCTATTCACTAAAACCCTCACGTATTAATTGATAAAAAAAAAACAAAAAACATCATAGCTATTCACTGAGAGTTTTTCATCTGCCAGAGAATAACAGCAGCTGGTATTTCAAACAGTTAATGTGTATTAATTGTATCTATAATTACATTAATTAATTGTATCTATAATTACATTAATTAATTGTATCTATAATTATTATAATTAATTGTATCTATAATCATTGATTGTATCTATAATTATTATCTATAAAAACAGTTAATGTGTATTAATTGTATCTAGGAGGTCTCAAATAAAAAATTAATTTATACAGTAAACGATTATTCAAAGGACATAAATTTGTTATTTCTAGTAAGCTCTTTCTACAATACCTTTAAATACCTTAAATACTTTTAGTAATACAGCGAACTTTGACAATATCACCGTCTTCATTAGCCCAAAACAACACTTTCTTAAAATATTTATTCCGTCTGCATATCACCGAAATATATACATACTAAAAGAAGTATTAATTCCACTCACTATTTTGTGCTTGCTTTATTTTTTATCCCATTTAACATTAATAAATAAATACATAAATACATAAAATGAATAAAAAAGAAAGAAAAAATGAGAGAGGGACCACATGTTCTCTATAAAACTCTATTGGAAGTTGCCATAGGAGTCCAAAGTGCAAGACCGGAGTGCGCCAAGGTCGGTTTGGCATTTCAGAACAGGTGCTTACGATAAGGGTCGTTTTTTCCTATAGTAATTGTCATATATAAGACCCAGGTGTCTGTATACATAGTGATGATACACACACACTCACACGCACACACAGACACACATACATAAATACAGACATACGAAGATGTGTATATATATACATATATATACATATATATACATATATATGCATATATATAAATCTATGTATATACATACATACATATATATATATATATATATATATATATATATATATACATATATATATACATACATACATACATACATATTACATACATACATACATATATATATAATATATATATATATATATATATATATATATATTATATATATATACATATATATATATATATATATATATATATATATATATATATATATATATGTATGTATGTATATATATACACACATACATAAGCCTACATACAAAGAGAGAGAGAAGAGAGAGAGAGAGAGAGAGAGAGAGAGAGAGAGAGAGAGAGAGAGAGAGAGAGAGAGAGAGAGAGAGAGAGAGAGAGACAGACAGACAGACAGACAGACAGACAGACAGACAGACAGACAGACAGACAGACAGACAGACAGACAGACAGACAGACAGACAGACAGACAGACAGACAGACAGATTTAAAAACAACCCGACCAAGACATTAGAAAGAGAGAGAGAGAGAAAAAAAAATAAAAATCCCCCTTACATACAACCTTCTCTTTCACACTACTCGCTACCACACTCACGTTCCCCTTCTCCCGGATTCCCTAGTACGTTCTCTGCCAAAACCCCAAGGCTCTTGGGTGACTCCTGAGACACACGGGGTCAGCGGGCACGTGTGTGAGACCGACCTAATCTCGAAACGGCCACGCGGCTGCGGAACCATTCATGGCTCGATCTAATTTCATTGTAGACTTCCGTGTGTCCAAGTTGAGGAAGTGAAATCTCAAGGTTTTGTAAAAGATCAGTTTGTAATGCGACTGATGTTAGGTAGGAAATAGATGTCTGGGTGTATGTATCATTGGCGTGGATACGTTTGCATGTGAGAATGATTTGTGTGTGTGTGTGTTTTGAGCCGTCACACTTAACTGTGTTTTGCATGGAGTTCAGTGTCATTTGGCACGAGTCCCTCTTCTAGAAGCCGTCTGCCACTCCGTCCCCTACAAACACCTTCTTAAAAGCACCCCGCCTCTCCTAAACTACCCCCTTCCTCCTCCTCAACATGTCCCTCCTTATCCCTCCCTCCTCAACATACCCCAGTCCCTCCTTAAAACCCACTCCCTCCCTCCTCAACATACCCTAGTCCCTCCTCTACATACCCCCCCCCTCCCCTTCCTCCTCAACACACCCCTCTCCCCAAACACCCCAAATCCCCCCAAGACCTACCGAGAACGGACAGCGCCGACACGACTCCTCCCAGCAGCGACAGGGTGATGGCGACGGGGTTCATGCTCTTCCCCCCCGTCAGGAAGTCCTTGGTGTCCCCGCTGCTGCTCCTCCAGCCGGCGAAGGTCCCGGCCACGAGGGAGGCAATGAGGAGGACCGTGAAGATGGCATAGTCCACCGTCGAGAAGTAGCTGATGGTGTTGAGGTTTGTGGACGGGGTCTGGAGGACGTCCGGGGTTGACATCTTGTTTCGCTTGCTGTCGGGGTGGGAGGAGAAACAGCAAGATGAGAATAAAGATGTCGAAAAGGGAGGTTTAAAGGTTGAAGAGCCACGAAAGAGATGTCAAAAAGGGAAGGTTTAAAAGAAAAAATGTTGGTGAGCCATGAGGAGATGGCGGTGATACGGCGAGTGCGTGAACTTTGTAGATATTTCGAGGTACATGAGAAGTGTCTGAGTCACTCTCGCTGCAACCTCGTGGTCTCTCTTTTCTCTCTCTCCTATTCTTCTCGCTTTTTCTCTCCTTTCTTTCTCTCTCTCTCTCTCTCTCTCTCTCTCTCTCTCTCTCTCTCTCTCTCTCTCTCTCTCTCTCTCTCTCTCTCTCTCTCTCTCTCTCTCTCGAGTATATATATATATATATATATATAATATATATTATATATAATGTATGTATGTATGTATGTATGTATGTATGTATGTATGTATGTATGTATGTATGTATGTATGTATGTATGTATGTATGTATGTATGTGCGTATGTATGTTTGAATGAAGGGATGAAGGAATTAATGAAATGAATAAATAAATATATAATAAACAAATATATATATAAATAAATTACCATATATATATATATATATATATATATTATATATATGTATATATATATATATATATATAATATATATATATATATATATATACATATATATTCAATTGTCTCCTTCTTTCGCTCACTCTTTCTACCTGTCTCTGCTTTCTCTCTCTCTCCATCTTTCCCATTCTCCAATAATCTTTATCCAATTCATTCTCTCCACCCGACTCTCTTCATTTCTTCCTCTCTCCACTAATCACCATCTCTCCCTCTCTTCTCCTCCAACCCTCCCTCTCCCCCTCTCTTCTCCTCCCACCCCTCTCCTCTCCCCTCCCTCCCTCCCCCTTCCTCCACTCTCCCCATCCATCATCCACCCGTTCTCTCCACTCCATATCCCACGTCTACCACAATTAAGAACAGACACCTTTTTCCACATTCTTTCGCGACTCTGACACGTCCACTTAAGACTTCGATGACATGCTCAGCCGACCAAGCAGAGTAAACATGGTGATGAGTGAGATGCAGCTGAGTTTAAAAGGGGGAGAGCAATTTTATGCTCGTCTTTGGCTGTTAAATGATGATAGGTGGGAGGTACGTTCAACAATCGGGTATTTTCTCTTCTTCTTGCTCAATAACTCGTGTTCCTCATACATCATATTGTGAATTTTTTGTTATTTGTATTATATATTTCTTATTATCACCATCACTATTGCTGTTGCTTCTGGTATTGTTGCTAGTACTGTTACTACTATAACTAGGCCTACATTTATATCATTGTTGCTGTTACTAGTACTGTTAATTTCGTTTTTTATAATAATCATTGCCATAACTTGGTCTTCGCTTTTAAACATTGATAGATGGGAGGTACATAGAACAATCGGGTATTTCTCTTCTTCTTGTTCAATAACTCGTGTTCCTCATACATCATATTGTGTTTTTTTTTTTTTTTTTGTATTATATATTTCTCATTACTACCACCACTACTACAGTTGCTTCTCCTATTGCTACCATTACTGTTACTACTATAACTAGGCCTACATTTATATCACTGCTGCTGTTACTATTGCCGTTAAATCCGTTATTTTTTATAATAATCATTACCATAACTTATGAACTATTATGAGTATTATCAAGTACTACTGTTACCATAATAATTAAGATTATGAGTATAATTATCATTCTCATTATCATCAAATAACTATTTATTACCATTGTCTTCACTGATTTCATAATCCGGGTCATATAGCCGGTTAGTTAAATTTTGCCAGGCCCGACCCAATGAATTTTACTTGATACAGATGCAAAAATAAAGGCCTATCTGTCTATATATCTGATAGATATACATTTAACCATCTATTTGCCGGGTTGATATGCATGTCTAGACTGATAAATATGTATTTATTTCTTTATTTATGTCAAGTATACGAATATTCTTTGGGCCTCGCACAATTCTAACAAGACGGCCGATAATCACTAATGATGATGATAAGGATAAATGATCCTTTGCAATTCTGTTCTTACATTTCTCCCGTTAATGAACCTCCTGTTCTGTTAATGTTCTGATTTATAAGTGATGATAATTCTGTTCTTTCGTTTTGTGAAGATGCTGATGTGTTGTTTTATCTATATAGCGTTGGTGTTTTATTTACACGCTCACACTCACGCACAAATACGCGCACACACACAAACACAGACACACACACACACACACACACACACACACACACACACACACACACACACACACACACACAACACACACATACAACACACACACACACACACACAGACATACACATACGCATACATACACATACACATACACATACACATACGCATACAAATACACACACACACATACACATACGCATACAAATACACACACATACACATACGCATACAAATACACACACACACACACACATACGCATACAAATACACACACACACCACACCACACACACACAACACACACACACAAAACACACACACACACACACACACACACACACAGCGCACCACACACACACACACACACACACACACGCGCACACGCACACGCACACGCAACACGCGCACCACACAAACATACATATGAATAATAACTGTGGGACAAGCACAACACGACTTTGAAATTGGCGCCGGTGGCGTATCGTATATGTAAACCTTTCTTTTTCCCCGAACTCCACGTAAAACTCTTCCCTACAAGATTAAACGATGATCTACACTATGCCCTCCTCATCTAAGCTAAAACAGAATGCTTTCTCTTACGTAAAACAGAGAGAATATTCGACGCGTGCTCACCTCAACTCCTGGGTTTCCGCGAGTACTCTCCTTCCCCCGGCCCCTCCCCCCCTCCCCCCTCTCCTTTTTGGCAAATCGCGTTAGTGTATCGTGTTGGTTGATGTTGCTGTGTAAAATTTTATGTACTGATGGAAGGTAATTTTCGCACACATTAACACACACACAGCACACACACACACAACACGCAAGACACGCACACACACACACACACACACACGTATATGCGTATATATATGTATATATAGATATATATAGATATATATATATATATATATATATTATATATATATATATAGGCTACATGTGTGTGCTTGGGCGTGTGTGTGTGTGTTTTGTATTTAATACATATACATACATTAAGCAAAAGAGATAAAAATTGCACGCACAACACGACATTCACACACACACACGGTATCAGGCGTTGCGTATATATATATTTATATAGCTATAATAGTTCGTCCTGAGTTCTACAGTACTATATTATTATACTATATATATATATAGTACGAACGTGATATATTAGGCCTACATGTGGTGTGCTTGGGGCGGGTGGTTGTGTGTGTGTTTGTATTTTTACATATAGTCGATACTAAGGCGGAGCCATAATACAATCAGCACACACATGGATCAGGGTCAAATCAAAGGATCTGTGATATCACACACATGTAATGGTATTAACTGGCATACCAGCACACACAAGCACCAACACAACACACACACACAGCGACACACACACGCACAACACACTGCACACACACACAAGAGAATACACGATCATGTGTAAAGGTTCGAGTGTGATTTATCGGAGTTAAGCTTCAGTTGATGATAGGAGAGTAGATTACGGAGATTGCCTACCCACATACCCAGTCTAATTTGTACTAGTATTTATGAAAAAAGCAGCTAGTCAATACAGTAGGATGCAAGCAATGCTGCTTCCAAGGTGTCTGCCCTCCTGCAGGAACAGCGCCCCTGTTCACACAACTCTCCAATGGCCTAGATGCAAGCCGCCGTTCCGGTGGCGACTGGCGACTTTCGATCCATCTATCCTTCTTTTCCTGACGCTGGAAATCCACCTTCTGAACGGTTTTGTTTCCGCGCCTGATGGAACCTCACTCTCTTGTTGACCCAAGATACGTCAAGGTTTCTCAAAGGCAAACGTTTCCAAGATGGGTGAGGTCAACTGGATTTCGTAGAATTCACACGTTCTCCGGGTGGGCTTCAAAAGGGCAACCGTTGCATACTACTTCAACCACCAACTAATGGGAGATGAGTTAAGTCCATCTCCTGATGGGGTCTTTGTGAGGAAAGACTAATACAGTTCCATAGATGTGTTCCTTCTCGAGTACAACCGTCTACTGGGACAGTTGGGTCCGGGGGGAAAGCTCTTAAGGAGCCCTTTAGCCTCGTATAGAGTCGACGATATAGAGTATAGTATATATAGATATATATAGTAGTAGTCTGTAAGTTAGGTAGTTTTAGTAATTATATATGTATACTAGATATATTAAGTATTGTGATGGTGGTGTTGTGTGTGTGTGGGTGTTGTGTGTGTGTCGCTGTGTTGTGTGTGTGTGTGTGTGTGTGTGTGTGGTGCGTGTTTGTCTGTGTGGTGGTTGTTGATGTATTATATAATTTTGTGATGGTGTATGTGTGTGTTGTTGTTTGTTGATGTGCTCGCTGTTGATGTATGATATTACGAGTAGGGTATAGGGGTGTAATGTGTGTGTCTGTGTTTTATTTGTGTTTGGATTCTCGCTCAAACACTTAGGTCGTAGAACGCGTGCCGAACGCATGTGTCAGTAATAGCCTGGCTGCAGAAACAGATTATTTTTTCTGCCCTTGACCTCTCCGTACTAGGTGTTCTGGCTTTGACCTCATTCTGCTGAATTTCTCTGATGGTGATTTTATGGAAGTATAAGAAAATAATGCTAACCTAAAATAGCTATTTAAGAGAATATATCTGAAATAAGAAATACGTGAAAGCAAGTGAGAGAGTGTAATCTATATATAGAAATAAGAAGAAATAGATAATGTCTGTATGTGTAGACTCTAGTTAATATCCACTGCTCTAAATTTTGGTACATACACGTTGTAAAATATACCAAAATTAGAGGGAGACAAGTCGAAGTACTGGCAAAGTGGCAACGTAGGCGGCAGGGAAAAGGTGCCAAGGAAACATTTTGTTTGTTCGCGAATTTTCCCTCCGTATCTAGACAACCCTTGATCGCATGCCGAAAAGATGAGTAGAGTAGCCTGATTTAGTGCTCGCGTCATTATTATTGGTTCCTCTCTAGTCTCCTGCTCTCAGTCTCACTGTTCCTCCCACAGCTGGTGTGAATGGTCGCGGAGGTCTGTCCTCTAGTCCCCCCAGCTCTTGTCGTTTCTTCTCCTCCTCTCGATCTCTCTCTCAAGGTAGTCTCTCTCTCTCGTTCATCGTCTCTCCGCGGTGCTCTCTCTCTGAGTTCGTGAGCGTCTTCATCTTCTCGATCGCCTCTCCGTCAGATCGCAGGATCTCTCTCTTCTCTCTCATTTTGCCTCTCACAGTCTTGTTTGTCTTTCTCTCGAGATCTCGACTGTTTCTCGGTTCTCCTCTTGTTCGTCATAGAGGTGTCGATCGAGTCGTCGCTGTCACTTCATGCTACGTCAACGAGTAATCCGTCTCTCTCTTAATCAGAGACCTGTCTAAGGTCGTATCGCTCGCTATCGTCGGCATCTCCTTCTCCCGTCTGCATTGTTCTGGCCGGATCGTGTTGGAGTTTTCCTCGTCGGTTGGATCACTCGGTCCTTGACTCTCGCAGGGTCTCTGCGGTGTGCTGGGCGCGTTCTTCGGTAAAGTACTCTCGAGAGTATCGCAAGTCCAGGCAGGAGTGCGTGATTCGATGCTCCGACAGGTGTCTCGATGGACGCTTTGGCCGGACGGTCTGTCGTCGACGTGCTGATTGGTGGCTCTGGTTGGTGATAATCGTCGTCTCGTCGAACTCTTCTTCCGTTCTTCTCGTGACGCTCTTCGCGTGTTACGGATTCTCCTCTATCTAAGATTATTCGAGATCTCTGCAGCCTCTCTCTGTTCGTGTCTCCTCGTGGCTCGTCCGCGCTGGTCAGATGTAGGGTCTCCGCTCTTGGCGCGCTTGCGCGAGTCGAGCACACTCTCGTGTGTGTTGTTCACGCTTCCCGGGCTTATCCGAGGGATGCCTGCTCAGTTCTCCTCTCTCTCCTGATTCTGCCGGTCTCTCGCGTGGTTCGACTCGGACTCGATCGTCTCTCGTCTTCGTCCTATCTACTTATCGTATCTATCTATCTATCTTCTCTATATCTCTATGTCTGATTACTCTTTGATGCTCTACTTATGGAGAGCTGGGCAACATTTCTATCATACTATTTATTTATATGTCTGTCTATCTATCAAACTATCTATCTATCCTCTATTCTGTCTACTCTACCCGACTGTATCGGTGCATTAAATCTATATATCGTTTATGGTCTTCTACTCTCGCTGTGTAAATATATATACCGCCGACTGCTTAGGTCCTCAGTCTAATCTTATTTGTCTCTTTATGCTGATCTCTATCACTCACTCAATCTAGTCTCTATCAGTCTATCTACCCGCTCTACCAATCTATCTACCTCTATCAGTGGTATCTACTGGCTATCCATCCAGTCCTTTCTAGCTCCTAATCAGTGTAAATTCTACCTCTATCATGAGACAGTCCTATTCTGAACTTCTATCCATCAGTCTGTCTACCTCTATCCATCAGTCCTATCCTACTTCTACTCCATCAGTCTGTCTAGTGCTATCCATCAGGTCTATTCTACCCTCCTGTAAAATCCATCGAGTCTGTCTAAGCAGTCCTATCCATCCAGGTCTATCTAGCCCTTCTACTCCATACCAAGGTACGATCTAGCCTACATATTCCATCAGTGGCTTGTACTAACCTCTGATCCTATCTGAGTTCTAGTCCTACCTCTATTCCAATCAGTCTATATCTATCTCTATCTGACTTAGTCATGGTTAGGTACACCCTCTATCCATCCGGTAACCTATCGATAAACCGGCTCTATTCACATGGCGAGTTCTGGTCTCTTATCCATCAGTCTCTCTACTCTAGTCACATCAGTCCTATCTACCTCTATGATGTATCTTACCGTCTATGCCATCAGTCTGTCTACCTCTATCACATCAGTCTATCTACCTTCTATCTATTAGTACATGTCTAACCGTCTAATCCATCAGTGTATCTACCTCTTATCGCGATACAGTCTATCTACCTCCATCGCAGTTCTATCTACCTCTATCCATCAGTCTGCTCTACCTCTAATCTATCAGTCTATCTACCTCTATCTATCAGTCTATCTACCTCTATCAGTGTATCTACCTCTATCTATCAGTATGATTTTAGCCCTCTATCCATCAGTCTATCTAACCTCTATCCATTCAGTCTATCTAACCTCTGAGTTCCATCAGTCTATCTACCTCTATCATGGACAGTCTATCGAGCCTCTAATCCATCAGTCTCTCTCTATACTTCTATCCATCCAGTCTAATCTACCTCTATCCATCAGTTCGACCCCTCAAACCCCTTTTTCTACCATCAGTTTCCTCTACCTCTAATCCATCAGTCTAATTTTCTACCTCTTATCCATCAGTCTAGTCTCTACCTCTATCCATCAGTCTATCTACCTCTATCCATCAGTCTATTCTAACCTCTATCCATCAGTGGCTATACGTCTCTATGCAGTCTAGTCTACCTCTCCTTTCAGTGTCTATCTACGCTCTTTCAGTCTATTCTACCTCTAATCATCCAGTCTTACTGCTAACCCTCTATTCAAGTCTATCCTACCTCTTTCAGTCTTCTACTCTATCCATCAGTCTATCTACCTCTACTCAGTCTATCTACCTCATTTCATGTCTATCTACCATCTATCCCATCAGTCTATCTTGACACTCTATCCAGTCAGTCTATCTACTCTTTCAAGACCTCCTATCTACCTCTATCCATCAGTTCTATCTGCCTCT